ACAGCTGGGTACAGCTGGGCTACACGTACGTCCATCCTCTCTCATTCTAACCCCTCTAATCCCATGCAGTCTAACCGTCCCTCCCCCTCCTCCGGCAAACGTCACCCAAGGGCCGTGGTACTTCTGGTGCGGGCTGCAGCCGAACGGCGGCGGGGTCATCCAGCCTGTCCTAGGGTGGAGGGCAAGCGAAGGCACCAGCGTCAACCCCAACACCTCCTTCCCACAAGTGTGGGCAATGAATGTGCGTCGCTCTTCCCCCGGCCCAAACTCCAACTAACACTTAACAGCTCTGGTCCCTCCCCTGGAACTTCGGCGAAGACAACGCTCCTCCCGCTCAGGAAAGCTCGGGTATATGGGCGGACCAAGGGTCGCAGATCGCCTCCTTCGTCCAGTGGCAGGGCGATCAGTGGTACCAACAGGCGGATGCCATCTCCGGTGCTGCTGTAGGCCAGTCGGTGGAGATGTTCACCCCTGCCAGCTACTTCGTGGGTGAGAACTCCACAACGGCCAATACACCCATGACAGCATGCGAATCCGAGTGAGTCTAGCCAACACTCTCTGTTGACGGTACCTGACGTCTCTGCAGTCTGGACGGCGACCAAACAGACCTATGGGACTTTAGCGTCACCTTCACCGACGTCTACTTCCGAGCTGCGACCTCGGACGGCGTAGAAGACCTCTGCGGCTCCACGTCTGACCACTCGGACGTGAACGGCTTTATCAGCTTTACGGGCTTCTCGATGTTGAAATGACGAGACCTGTTATTGGAAGTCGATTACGTTTTCGCCGCCTGTTCCGGTTAGCAATTAGAGCACGGAGGTTTGTGGATATGTTCGACCCGTCCCTCAAAGGGCATCGTGGATAACGGCGGGATCAGAGTACGGGAACCAGGCCCGCCCGCGCCATGCATGCCTCGTCAGAGCTCGCCTCCCCCCCAGCATTTGTTGTCCCCGTTTACACCCTCACACCACATCCTTTCCCGTCTTTCTTTCTTCTCAATACCTTCAATGTATATCTAGGTACCTCATGGTACATTTTTTGAACAATAATATATCCACTTTTCATGGAAGCCTCGAACAAAATATGGTCATCAGGAGTGATCCTCAGGCTCCTGCCAGGTATCCACAGCGGTTATGCGGCATCAGCAAGGACCCCTAGAAGGGGACACTCATGTGACAAGGCTCTTATTCAAACCCTAACATGAGATAATGAATAACTCTAACATGAAATAGTAAATAACCCTAACCTGTAAAAGAGCCTAAAATCGATGGAAAGATTCTGATTCAGGCACAGTTTGAGAGTTAAAATACATTGAAAATTGTTGTAATGATAACAAAATATGATGGCATAAAGTTGTATTATTCGGATATTATCTGTGTGTTTTCCGAGTTAGGTGCATGAGCACCTTTTTGTCGATGCCTCCCGCTGTTTCAGGGTGCTGGGGTCGCAAGCCCTGCCCTAGGGAGCTCAGGGCAGGGCCCAGAGACGCGGGTAGGGCTGGCAACTCATACCCACCGTAAACGGCGGGATCAGAGGGCAATCTGCACAATAGCGCGCTGCGCGCAGGCATCCTGGTCGATATCCCCAGTGTAGTCGTCCGTAGTGGTGCGTGACGTCCTTGCATAAACGAATGATCACACCCAGACCCTCTGTGCTCTATTTGCTACCCGGAGCAGGCGGCGAAAGAGTAATCGACTTCCAATAACAGGTCTCGTCATTCAACATCGAGAAGCCCGTAAAGCTGATAAAGCCGTTCCCGTCCGAGTGGTCAGACGTGGAGCCGCAGAGGTCTTCTACGCCATCCGAGGTCGCAGCTCGGAAGTAGACGTCGGTGAAGGTGACGCTAAAGTCCCATAGGTCTGTTTGGGGGCCGTACAGCCTGCAGAGACGTCAGGTACCGTCAACAGAGGGTGTTGGCTAGACTCACTCAGATTCGCAAACCGTCATGGGTGTATTGGCCGTTGTGGAGTTCTCACCCACGAAGTAGCTGGCAGGGGTGAACATCTCCACCGACTGGCCTACAGCAGCACCGGAGATGGCATCCGCCTGTTGGTACCACTGATCGCCCTGCCACTGGACGAAGGAGGCGATCTGCGACCCTTGGTCCGCCCATATACCCGAGCTTTCCTGAGCGGGAGGAGCGTTGTCTTCGCCGAAGTTCCAGGGGAGGGACCAGAGCTGTTAAGTGTTAGTTGGAGTTTGGGCCGGGGGAAGAGCGACGCACATTCATTGCCCACACTTGTGGGAAGGAGGTGTTGGGGTTGACGCTGGTGCCTTCGCTTGCCCTCCACCCTAGGACAGGCTGGATGACCCCGCCGCCGTTCGGCTGCAGCCCGCACCAGAAGTACCACGGCCCTTGGGTGACGTTTGCCGGAGGAGGGGGAGGGACGGTTAGACTGCATGGGATTAGGAGGGGTTAGAAGTGAGAGAGGATGGACGT